TTATTTATTTTTGGACAGAGAGAGACAGAGCATGACCGGGGGAGGGGCAGAGAGAGAGAGAGGGAGACACAGAATCGGAAACAGGCTCCAGGCTCTGAGCCATCAGCCCAGAGCCCGACGCGGGGCTCGAACTCATGGACCGCGAGATCGTGACCTGGCTGAAGTCGGACGCTTAACCGACTGCGCCACCCAGGCGCCACCAGTCTTTTGAAAAGACTCTCACTCAGGGGTTGGCCATCTATGGCCTGGGGTCCAAATTTGGCTCGCTGCTCTCTTTTACAGATAAAGTTTTATTGGTACACAGCTCATGTGTTGACGTATTTTCCATGTCTGCTTTTGAGCTATCGCAGCAGAGTGAGATAGTCACCACAGAGACTGTCTGGTGTGCAGATCCTGAAGTGTTTACTCTCTGCCCCTTCCCTGAGGACATTTGTCGGGCCCTGCACTAGGCTATTAGCACAGACACCTTCCCCGTGAAAGGGCTTTCCAAGTTTTGTGTCCAGGGACACTGGCCCATAGTTGTGGTGAGGACATATAATACATGTAGGGATGTGGCATGTGTGGGTGTGTTTTTAGAGCCTCACCTTCCTCTTCCCTCGTTTTCATTCTCACTCCCCACTCCCCTGCCACCATTACCTGAATGACCTTGGACAAGTCACTTCATCTCTCTAACCCTAAGGCCTTTACCGTTCTTTTATAAATTTTTTTTTTCAACGTTTATTTATTTTTTTTGGGACAGAGAGAGACAGAGCATGAACGGGGGAGGGGCAGAGAGAGAGGGAGACACAGAATCGGAAACAGGCTCCAGGCTCCGAGCCATCAGCCCAGAGCCTGACGCGGGGCTCGAACTCACGGACCGCGAGATCGTGACCTGGCTGAAGCCGGACGCTTAACCGACTGCGCCACCCAGGCGCCCCTACTGTTCTTTTAAAAAGCACCAACAAATAAGCTGTACAGTACCTTAGGGCTTTATTATAATAGATTGTGTGTGTATTTCTTTTTCACATGCAAACTTCCAAGCAGACATTTCTAAATTCTAATGCAATTAAGACATCGGGCAAATGGAAAGAAGAGATGTTGTGTAATGCAGCAAAGGGAATATATTTTCCTTCGTAATGAAGGGAAGCATGTCACAAGGCAGGGGATGGCTTGGATATGGGAATTTTAGGACTGCGAGTAAAATCCTTCAGATTAGACAGATAGGACAGGCTGCGTCTCCACTGACATCTACAGCGAACGAATGGCCACGTGAGTATCTGGCTTACAGAGGAGAATCAGGGCAATAACCAGATGCTCTCTCCAATTCCTGTTGGCTTCGTAATCGGACAGTGACTATTTTGGGGGTGTCTCATCTTGGTAATGGAAGTATACCGTCTTGATATTGTGAGTTGTCAGAAAGGGCTTTACTTTTAAGGTAAGATAAAGCACATATTACCAATTCAAATATTTGAAAGCATTATTTCTGCATAGGTGGTTCTCATGAGTTATGTTGCATGTTTCATAACGTTTTGTAAACGGGAGAGTATTTTTCTGGATTATTATGATCACATCCAAGGTGCGGGGCAGTTTTCTAGGGAACTAAGTAATTATGTACCGAATGGAGCATATTAAGACAACACAATACCTAATACTAGCAGACCTTGTTAAACTTGAATTTCTCTATTAGGAGAGGAGATGAGTTTGAGCTCTTCCTATGAACCTACAATAACTGGAGAATTCACCTGTTTTCAGCATAGAGACATTCAGGTACATCCCTGAGAACATGTACACCTGTGATTATCCTTATGCATTAAAAATTTTTTTCTTGCCTTAAAGAGATGATTAGCTTGCAAACTAGGTTCCCTCGCAGAGAAGTCAGTAGGTCCTTTTCCTAGGATACAGGTCGAATCCTACAGGAAGAGGGATTGCTTCCGGTCTCTTGTTTCAAGCCAGAGACAGCCCCTCGGTTCACTTAACTGTCTTGTTAGGACTCACCTGTTCCAACTGACAGGGTTTAAAATGGAAACAGAAATACCGCCCTCACAAATCAAAGTCATTCGTCTATTCATCCAGCAACTGTTTGCTGAGAGCCTGATGTGTGCCAGGCACTGGCCTCCATGCTGGGAAGACAAACAGATAAAACGGATCTGTGAACAAAACAGATAAAAAACCAAATCTTCCCCTCATACAGCTTTCATTCTTGTGAGTGGAGGCGGACAGGACATAAAGGATGTTGTAAGTCAGTTGGTACTAAGGGCTGTGCAGAATAAGGGACGCCTGGCTGTATATTGAGGAAGGGCTCCAGGGAGGCAGCCGCAACGTGAGGGAGCATTGAGAGGAGGCCTTGGCAGTGATGGGGGAAGGAGGGCGTTGGCGTGGTGTGAGTGCTGGTTGTGGTGCAGATACTGTGCATATATTTTGAAGTCCGTGCTAACAGAGTTTGCTGAGGGGATACGAGAGCCCCAGAAGTGTCTGACTTCTAGGTTTTCAGTCTGGTTAAGTGGAAGGAGGAGTTTCTGTTTATTGAAGGGTTGGCTCCTGTGGCGTGGGGACAGTTATGACGTGAGTGCTGGACACATTAGTTCTGAGTTGGCTCTGGCACCTCCAAAGGCAGCTGACTTGAAGACCACCAAATATTTGACTCTGAGTTTGGGACAAAGTCTGTGTGGAAGACATACATTTGAGAGTCAGCAGCACACAGACTTTGGGTAAAGCCGTGACTGGACGAGATCCCTAGAAAGTGCGAGTACATGAGAGAGAAGAGGTCCCTGAGTTCGGGGGCCGGATGCCGTCTTGTTGAGTCACGGCAGCATGGGCATGAAGTTGGGGGGGGGGGGGGGGATCAGGCAGAGAAGAGAATCCGGGTCCCGCAGGACCGAGGGGAAATTCAGCAGAGCCGTGTCAGGTAGAGAAAGTGCCTGTAACACCGGGCAGTGCTTGGTGGTGTCATAGCCACATCGATGACCCAGGTTCGGTTCCTGGGGCTCTGCTCAGCCAGCACAGCAAGGAGTCCAGGGCTTCCCACGCCCAGGGTAACTGTGACCAGTGTGTTCCAGCTTACATTGAGCTGAGTCATGTTCACACCTCTTGGCTTGTCGCAGGCAGGTGCGATGCTTTCCAAGATCCAGCTTGCGGGTAGGTCATCAGACTTTCATGTGTGTTTTACACAGAGAAAGATCTTTTACATAAAACATAAATACGTGTTTATGTAAACGTATAAACTATCCATAGAGGTGCCCCACTTGGACTCACCGAATCAGCGTATCCCAGTGTATGTCTTGGGCACTCCCAGAAGGTTCCTAAAGTTGACAATATTAGAACCACCTCATCAACACTGTCACGTAACATGCTTTGGATTCACTTTGCCTGAAAAACAACAATGAAATATTCTCATCTTTTTATCTATCTATCTATCTATCTATCTATCATCTATCTATCTATCACCGCAGAAGAGAGAGAATGAGAGACAGAACCCTAAGCAGGCTCTACACTCAGTGTGGAGCCTGACGAGGGACTCAATCCCATGACCCTGGGGTCATGACTTGAGCCAAAATCATGAGTTGGTCTCTCAACCAAGTGAGCCACCCAGGCTCTCCTGTTCTCATTTTAAAAAATTAAGCAATCTGTGGCACCTGGGTGGTTCAGCCAGTTAAGTGTCCGACTTTGGCTCAGTTCATGATCTCAAGGTCTGTGAGTTTGAGCCCCGCATTGGGCTCTATGCTGACAGCTCAGAGCCTGGAGCCTGCTTTGGATTCATTATCTCTCTCTCTCTCTCTCTCTCTCTCTCTCTCTCTCTGCCCCACTCCCATGTGCACTCTGTCTCTCTCTCTCAAAAATAAATAAACATAAAAAATTTTTAAAAATTAAGCAATCAACCAAACTTCCAGGCCTTATATACCTCTAGAAAAGCAACAGACTTAAAAAAAAATAATCCACGTTTCCATCGTTCCAAAACCACGAACAATCTTGACAGTAAAAACATGGCTAAATCCCCTCAGTCATCTTCATTTATATCAAGTTAGGTGTAACTTCTTGGCACTTGTGATGCACATGGCATTACCCTTCCAATTATTGACAGCATTTTTCTGGGAAAGCATCTTCAAACAAATCCATCTGTAAATCATTTGTGGTGAGTGGCATCTACACTTGTTCAGTTTGTGGCGGAGAATGAAGGAAAGGCCATCTAGCTTTGTGTGTAGGTGCTTATCTTTGTATATGTATTGAAAGTGGAGGTCTGTAGAGTAACCTCATCTGTCTTGTGAGAGGCGAAGAAGCTTTTGCTTTATGCGACAAGCCAGAAATGGCGAAATTACAGAAACGGTTGTCATCCATATGTCATCCAATTTGTAGTGTAGATTAAGAAAAAAAAATGCTTTTGGGTCGCCTGGGTGGCTCAGTCAGTTAAGTCTTTTGATTCTTGATGTGGGCTCAGGTCTTGATCTCACAGTTGGTGAGATCAAGCTTTGCATCGGCTTCTGTGTTGACAATTCAGAGCCTGCTTGGGATTCTCTCTCTCTCCTTGCCCCTCCCCTGCTCTCTCTCTCTCTCTCCCTCCCTCTCTCTCTGCCTCTGTTTCTCTCTCTCTCAAAATAAATAAATATTTTTTTAAAAAAGACAAAAATTGCTTTACTTTTGCTGACATCCCTTTGTTGCTCTTGTTTGAAGTGAGGATCAAAAGTTGCAGAACCACTGGGATGAAAACAGTTAGTCATACGAGCCGCATTTCTCTCTTTCTCTTTCCAGAGTTTTCCAAGGCAGTTCTGCGTTGCGGACCTACTTAATGTCAACCCACCTAAATCGAATTTTGCCATGTTTTATAAACATTTATCAATTTCAAACACCGTGAAGATGAAGCTGGGTTATAGTGATACGTAAATGCCTCCAAGGAGCCTTCTAGATTACAAATATGGCCCGTGCAGTGCTCATGCGTTGACCATGTAGTCATTAGACCTACAAGGACATGGGTTTCATTGTCACCTGGGTGCTCAAGTCCTATGGTTTGTCTTTCTCCCGGATTTCAGATCCCTCTGCACCCCCAGCGCCTGCCAATCTCCGGCTTGCCAACTCCACCGTAAACAGCGACGGCACCGTGACCGTGGCCATCGTCTGGGATCTCCCTGAGGAACCAGACATCCCCGTGCATCACTACAAGGTATTTTGGAGCTGGACAGTCAGCACCAAGTCACTTGTCCCAACAAAAAAGAAGCGGAGAAAGACTACGGATGGGGTAAGTGGGAACAGGAAGAAGAGTGTTGTCTTGCAAGTTGTACTGGAGGTCAAGGCAGCTGACCAGAAAGGTGGCCTCTGCTGAGCTGAGAGAAGGAATGGGTGAAGGAAAGGTTCCCATCCCTCTCGTTTGGGCCGAGCAAGTTCGGGGAATGGAGCGCTGTGCCAGATGCTTTTGCCTTTGACATTTTAGGTACAAAACAGCTGCATTTAGTCCGTTGACTGACTCACATCCAAACAGCAGGCCAAACTCCTGAAAGAGAAGGAACAAAAATCATTTTTGTCTTAACTGTCCCATCATAGAAAATGATATAATTCAAAATGTCTTTTACATTTAGATCTTTTTCTTTGGGTGTGCTTGAGATCCTTGTAAATCAAAGAGCAAATGTTCCTGGCTTTTCTGTTGCAAGGTATTTCCATCTGTAACCTAATCAGTGGAACAGTAAACAGCTTAGAAAATGCATGTTTGACAATATATTTCTCTCATTGATTAAAAGAACTCGGAGTGGTTTATTTTCCAGATGGAAAGAAAGAAAATCTTCACTGAACCATGTTCTGAAATGAGATTCTATGATAGTGAACATTTTGCATTGTATGAAATTCTTAGTGCATAAAAAGGAGTTACCCGGTTTCCTTTTGGTACACATTCCTTTGTTGTTACCAAACTTACATAAACAACTTCCTCCTAATTTGTAAAGTTGAATTCCATAAAAAAAAAAAACAAATGTTTGAAAATGTTTTAAACAAGGATAGCAGGACTTTTTTTTTTTTTGCGGTGAAGATTCCAATTTCTGTGCCATTTAGAATTCTAAAACACGTCTCCAAAACTCCGTATCCTTGATATTTAGCTGTGATGCCTAGTTTGTTTTTATTTTTAAGAAACTTCCTGACTGTTCCATCTTTTATCTTGAAGGACTTCACAGCAGGCGATCATTGGCAATGCATGATTATCTCATAGGGAGATCTGAAGGGATCGTAGGGGTCGGAAGCAGAATATGATGTGTGAAGCGCGTATGGTACCCATACACACACAAACACACCCACCATCAGTCACCCAACAGCATCACGGGTTACCAGGAAACGTTGCAATTTACTTCCATTCTTTATCAATTAAATAAGTAAAACATGAACTGCAAATTTAATTGAAGGTGTTAATGGACCAGAGTGGCCAAAATGGTAGGTCACTGTCTTACGGGTGACTTCTGTTTTTGAATCCACTGCGGGCAAGCTGTAGGTCATGCGGATCACTGAATTCTCCGTGTTAAATCTGACCAACTGACATTAAGATTAGAAACTGGGAAAATGCGTAAGAATGTGAGAGAGTACGAAATTTTCTTCTTGGGAATCAGTAGGTTCCCATTTCCTAAGATACCATTCTAATATCCTTGGTAAATAAGGAGAGAAGGGGTTTTCAAAGGGGATGCTTTTTCAAAAGTCAATTTTCTTTTACCTGAGAGATAATAGTTTAGGGAGAAGGCTAGGCAATCTGACAGGAAACCGTGACTAGGAGAAATTGAGAATCGGTAGTTTAGGCAGACGCGCTAAAGGTTGAGAGAGGTAGAACGTCCACCACGAGGCCCTGGGAGGGTTTTTCTCTAACGGTACCAGGTAGCGGGCCGCAGAGCACAGTCCCAACCTCGCCGGGAGAAGCAGCCACAGTCTGGAGTCTGACGCTCAGTCTTCCCATTCTGGAAGTGCAGCCCCATCAGCATTGCAGAGCCAAGCTGATGAGGATGGCCGAGTTCTGATAATTCATCCCTCAAAAGCCCGAACCATACAGCGATGCCATGTATAATTTACGGCGGGGATCACGCTCACAGTTCTGGAGAAGCATGTTCTCTTGCTGAAAAGAGATCTCACAAGACCCAAAATGAAGACCGGAATGCCAATAGGTGATTGTGGAATTTACACAAGGGTCTTGTGTCTGTGATTCCGTCTTTGGTGATCTCAGACGATGCCCTTCGTGCAGCAGGCACACTGCACACATAACACTGGAATCGTCCGCACTGGAAAGTGCGTGCCACCAGTGGCCTGCGGTTGGGTGTTACATTACTGATGCACGCTGTCCGACTTTCATAACTGGTAATACCACCACTTGGACCACTTGTAGGCAAGTCTTGCAGCCAAGGAGCTCTTTCACGTCAACACATGCATAATAGTTTGACAGACGTCTTGAATTCTAAGACAGTAACCTTATTTTTCTTCACCGTGAGTTCTTGCAAGGGACTTTGGTATCCTACTTTTCCTGTAACCCTAGGAAGAGCAGCAGACTCAGACTTATTGAAGCTGTCTGTGCTCCTGTCTTGGAGCCACCATCCCACAGCTGGTTTGCTCCGACGTCACTGGATCTCCCAGCCTTTAGTAGAATTACTCTCTGGCCTCCAGCCATCAGGCAAATAAACAGGTTTTTGACTTGCTTCATTTAAGGCTGTGCATCACACACAGAAGCTCTGATGAGTGGTTGACATTAACGATGACAATGACTAAAAAAATCTTAAAGCATTTTCTCGGGATGATTTTTACTACCACTTTTGATTGAAATTTACTCATGGAAGATTTAGAATAAATATCAAAGAAATACAGTTAAGGACAGTTCATAATTTTTCCAGGTATCTGCTAACACTTGCCTCCATCAGTTTATGGCAAACATGTCTCTTTTCTCCATGAGGTGGTGTCTAGAATAGTCAAGAGCAGAATTATTCATTTTTTTTTCAAACTTTTTAAAGTTTATTTATTTTGAGAGAGAGACAGTGAGCAGGGGAGGGACAGAGAGACAGAATCCCAAGCAGGCTCCGTGGTGTCGGCACAGAGCCTGATTGGGTCTCGATCCCACAGGTGGGAAGCTATGACCTGAGCGGACATCCAGAGTCTGATGCTCAACCGACTGAGCCACCCGGGGAATCCTAGAATTATTCACTTCTATACTCATGAAAGAGGATCCAGTAATTGGATAAGGAACACAATTCCCAAATAATATGTTTGGGCGTTCTACTTATATTGATAGTAAAACTGGATTTTTTAAGGGCACATGTACGGCAGGGGCTGACGAGATGCTTCCTGAGGACCGTCTGGCTCTGTGAGGAAGAGGAGTGGCAGAGGCAGAGCGGTTTGTAACGGGCTTGGCGAATCTTCTCTCTTCCTGCAGTCCCAGAATTCGGTGATCCTGGACAGACTGCAGCCAGACAGTGGCTACACCGTGGAGCTGCAGGCCATCGCGTACTGGGGGCAGACGCGCCTGAAAGGAGCGAAGGCGTCCCTGCACTTCACGCCCGCACGCTCTGCCAGCCACAGTAAGTGTCCTATCCTGTCCCTGAACTTCACGCCCGCACTCCCCACCGGCCACAGTAAGTGCCCTCTCCTTGTGGAGGCGTGCCTGTCTGGCCTCGCCGTGCGCCTCTCCCCTGATGGCACCCTCTCCCAGCGTCTGGCAGGCTCCACGGTGCGTCCGTACCAGAGCCACTCATGTCCAACCCTCAGAGGCCCCAGATGTGGCAGTGAGCCATCGGGAGGGACAGCTGTAGCTACAGAAAACCTACTTTTTGGGTTCCACGCCATACTTGCTTATCTTTTTCTGCAAATTGGTGTTTAACCTTTGCTTGATCATATTGATCCTTATTGAAGGGGCAAAAAATGGGTCAATCGCACACTCTGTATGGGAAATGTATATTGTTGAGTCCTGCTACCTGGGCCAAACGTTTGCTGAATTTGGGAAGTAGCGTCCCTGCCCATCGAGATGACTTCTGTGTGTCAACACGGGTAGCGAGAGAAAGAAGGAAGTCTTCAAGTTTTGTAGGTCGTACAGAGCAAAATCCAAATTTGGGTTTTGTTTGTTTGCGTGTTGCCAAAAGTAGGCAAACATTTGTGTGTTTGAGATTGGTCATTGAGCCATGTTTCAGTTTTACCTTTGACTTTAATTTGTATCTTTTGAATATGCAATATTTTGGTGTCATAGTGGAGATTTAGCAAGAAAACTTATGTCTCCTAAACCTGGGGATGGGTGACATACCTGTGGTAACAGGTATTCCACAGTGGTCACATTGCTTCTTGAAAGGCTACTTAATATTCCATTGAGTAAATTTTTCCCATATTGGTTTTTCTTGCTTCCAGTTTTTCTAAACTACTATGTTTGCCACAAACTGAGCAAAACAAGAGGAGAGTCTTACATGGCAGTCATATCTGAGCCAGAAAATAAGTTCCTTTCTTGTTTTTGGCTTTGTTCACGAGACGGGGCTAGTTAGAACTGCTCAGGAGAAGCGCGTGGCAAGGTTTCTGGGAATGGGAGAGATTAAAGGACCATGTGATACTGATTCCCTAGGAGTAGAGCCCCATGGTATCTGCCTTTCATCATGGGCCTGCTGCAGAAGGGTAGAAAGTGCTAGAAGCCTGTCTGAATATAGGAAAGGCAAGCCACGCTCTGCAGAGTTAGATGCAGTCATTACTTATAATTATTTTCTACCACCTGGGAAAAATAGGATCGGAATGAGCAGGTCTGTTTGAAATGATGCTTTCAAAAAAGTTCTAGAAACAGCTTCCTAGCTCCATGAGAAACCATCTCTTTGGAAACTAAGTGTCTTTGAAACAGTCTACTATTTTTAAGCATCTCTCTGAATATAATACAACTTTTACCTAAAATTCCTCTTGGAAACTTTTCTATAGGTGTAGTAACTTCATGGATTTTTTTAATCCTGTCATTCATCCACTCCTCAACCTGAAACGTATGGCCACAAAACATGACATTACTGTCCCTAATGATGGAGGTAATTGCTATATTATACTGTATTGTACTATAAACATAGGTCCAGTATATAGAATATATACTTATAGACCAAATATACACAATATAGTACATATGTACCATGTATTTGTTTATGTGTGCATGTCCGTGCACACAGACACACATGGATACAGGCACACATAAACATACACATGCATGTACTATTCATGCACGTAGACATACGCACACATACACATTATTGCAGCACTAGATGCGTTTTGAGCTCTGCCCAACATTGAGTTTGGAAGATAAACATGTACACGTGATGGCACAGACATCAGTCCACTGCACACGTAGTCATAATGGACACGGGAGAAGCTGAAGTTTCGGTGGGGAATGAGATCCCTCAAGAGTCACGAGTGCCCCGTGGGCCCACAAGGCATGGGCATCCGCCCACACACGGGTGGGTGTGCGTGCGCATGCGCAGAGATTGGAAAGTGTGCTGTGTGTGCAGAGAACTCGGTGTTGGGGAGAAGGAAGGAGGGGGGGGGAGGTAGCGCTGTCCCTGGGAGAGCTCAGTGAGTGTGTGGACTCAGCGACCATCTTTGTGCTTCTGATGCCCTCTCCCTGTGTCTGGCTGCCAGCTCAGCACCTGTACGGGGGTGGCTAGCAGGTGCTCAGACAGCACACCTGCTCCTCTCCCGGGATCTCCCATGGCAGACGGCTCCCCCCTTCACCCATCTGTTCATGCCAGAGATTGAGAGGCCAGTCTTCATGTTTCTCTTTTCTTTCTCTCCAGAAATGCAGTACTGCAGAAAGTCCTTTTTGTCTCTAGTGTCAAATGCTCTTGGGATCTATCAAGTTCTTTGCCATGTTTGGGCCATTCCCATCGCTTTCTTACAATTAAACAAGTCTCCTAATTAGTATCTGTCTTCACTCTTTCTTAACTATCCATTCTGTAGATGGCAGCACACATGTGCTTTAGACAATAGCTGCTGAGTAACATACTTCTCCTTCTTCTGAATTCCACCCTCAAGAGTGTCCCCTAGTCATCTTCTCCCAAAGTTCATCCTTCACTCCTGTCCCCTTCTTCATCCCCAGCCTCCTTCTCAGACCTGAGTCCTGTAGACTTCTGCTTCACCAAAGACCTTTTGCTTCTATTGGTGGGAGGGATTTCATGTCGTGTAAACTACGTTTGCCTTTATGTGTCCTGGTTTTTCTGGTAAACAACATTCCTTCCCCATTAGAAGCTGGTGTGGGATTGCAGACTCGCATAATTTGTGTTTCTTCCCACAACCAAGAACAAGGAGTGAAGAATCCGACCTCAGCTTGCTATCGTGGGGGTACACGGAGTGCCTCGGCAAGTCCCCGTGGACACAGAGCTCTGATTGGGCTCTGGATCCCCACAGCACATCTAGGGCTTTCTCACTCTTCCTGGGACATCGCCACACAAGCCCATTGGCTCGCTGAGATCCTCTTTAACTAGTTTCTTCTCCCACCCTCTCACGGGGGATTGTAAACCTCTCTTTGTCTCGTATCTTAAGCCATAATGCGTAATATAGTGCACATTCCTTCCTTTCAGAATGGCACACAGTTCCCCATACATATGAACACATCATGTTTATCTTCCCCTGTCCTCTGTAATATGAGGTGGAAACATCCTTCCTTTTGCATATGGCAGACCCCACCATGTGGGGTTGAGACCCACCCCTTCCCAACTTGGAGAAGAACATCCACCAACCCAAAAATCTCATCTAGATCATGGAACATGAGTTATCTGTCCATTGTGCTCTGCACCTATATGTGTGGTGCGTTAAGTACGGCTCCATAAATATCTGTGAAACACAATCAGTAATCCCTATCTTATCTACAATGTCAGTCAACTTTCCATCAGACAGGTTTATTGTGAATGTTAATGGCACTTTTTAAAAATTTTTTAAGTTTTTTTTTTTTTTTAATTTTTTTTCAACGTTTATTTATTTTTGGGACAGAGAGAGACAGAGCATGAACGGGGGAGGGGCAGAGAGAGAGGGGGAGACACAGAATCGGAAACAGGCTCCAGGCTCTGAGCCATCAGGCCAGAGCCCGACGCGGGGCTCGAACTCGCGGACCGCGAGATCGTGACCTGGCTGAAGTCGGACGCTTAACCGACTGCGCCACCCAGGCGCCCCAAGTTTTTTTTTTTTTTTGAGAGAGCATGTGCACAAGCCGGGAAGGGGCAGAGAGAGGGAGAAAGAGGGAGAGAATCCCAAGCAGGCTCCACGCTGTCAGCACAGAGCCTGATGAGGGGCTTGATCTCATGAACCATGATGAGATCATGACCTGGACTGAAATCAACAGTCCGATGCTTAACCAATCGAGCCACCCAGGTGCCCCACTAATGTCACTTTCTAATCATCTTTAAAATTAGATAATGTTTTAACTGATCAATAAAGAGATACAAGAGTTAACCTATCAAAGGCCATTTTATTCTAAGGATTAACTTACTCACGTGGATTCAGAAAGGTGATAAAGGAAAAGTAAATGAGAGAATAGTTCAGAGTACCTGTCATAGCACATATTGTTTTGTCTCAGGCTATCCCTTGGAAGAGATGGGCTTTACCAAGGATTATGCAGGATATAGCTGAATATTTGTCAGGATTTCATACACTGATGGTGATATATAATCTCATAAATGCTAGTACATGACTTTTACAAGAACACCGTATATTTCATCACAGACCAATGAGAAGTAAAGAATAATTACAACTTTATAGAATAAGCAAGGGAAATTATATTTTATAGGAAAGAGAGTAGTAAATGCCAGCATGTAAATTACTTTTTGAATTATATTTTCCAGGTCTGCAGGCTGCTAGGTGCTTTAATGACAAAAAGTTCTACGCCAACAAAGGCTGAATGTTCCTGCCATTTTGTAAAAGGGCCCCTTGAAGGAAGAAAAATGTAACAGCGTCTTGAAAGGAAATGTTGCTTGCTCTTTTGGAGGCTAGAAGAATCTTTCCAGGGTTGACAGATTACTGATGTTTTAGAGTTGCCTCATGCTGCTGGGGTATTCTTGCAGCTCTTCAAATTAAAAATGGAGCAGAGAGAAAATATCCTGGAGCTCCTGGTCTGTGAAATTAATCAGAATTGTGACATTTGAAAAAACAGCCTGGTCATTCACTTCTCTTAACTTTGGGACTATTAAATAAGAGCATAAATCAGACCTCGTATCTTTTTACAGTATGCAGGAATGATTTTATTCCATTCTTATTTAGTAGTGTAAGTGCAGGACGCCCCTTTCGAGTCAGGTCCAGGCTCCTAGGACTGACGCACATGCCTATCTGTCCATTACATGTGGCCTCAGCAGCACTACATGGTGATGCATTTCTCTACTTGAAACATTTCAAGGGACCAATGGCAGTTCAAGAGACCAATGCCAGTTCACTCTTGAGATACAGAAAACTATGTCCTTACATATACGTAATGAGAAATAAACGTTTGCATAGGATATAATAAGAATGCAGGAAGATAGAATTCACATAGAGATTAAACATAGTGTCTAAACCTCTATTTTGGTGGTCCTTGGCAAGTTCTCAAAGTCACTCCCTAATAGTACAGGGATTAGAAACCTACGTGGCTTGCGAAAATCTTCAATCCTTAGTTAGCTAGTCAACAGATACATTGCGTGTGGGCAGCAGGATTCTTCACCTCCATGGTGACCAGGAACGGAATGAGTTTTGGCCAAGAGCCCTGTGTGTTCTCTGTCCTGGCTCAGTCTTCTCTGGGCTCCGAGCTCTCTGTGCTGCTGGGCACACTGGCTCTCTCTGGAGGATGACACAGGGCCTCTCAAAGTGGCCTGTGATACTGTGATTTAAAATAAGAAACATGTATTCAGTCTTCGACCCCATTCCTGGCACTGGAACTCCATAAACATGCACAAGGACAGGGTTCGGAGAACTTCTGGGTTGGTGAACATGTGGCAGTGTGGGCACAGTGGCACCCCTGGGGAGGGCACGGAGGCTGTGTGCCCCTTCTCACATAGCTGGCCCTGTGTAGCTCTTCCCCTGGCTGCTCTTGAGTTAGGGCCTTTATAATAAACAGATAGGTACTCTAGTGAGTAAAATGTTTCTGAGTTCTGTGAGCCACTCTAGAAAATTAGTTGAATCCAAGTTGGGGACCTATAGCGGATAGTCAGAGTGTCACAGGTGCCAACCAGGACATGTGAGTGGTGTCTGCAGTGGGGGCCATCTCGTAGGATGGAGCCCTTACCCTGGGGGATCCAAGGCTATCTGCAGGTGGATGGTGTTGGAGGGGAACCCCCCCCCCAAATGGATGGTGTCCCCGGGGGGGATCTAAGGCCATCTGCAGGTGGATGGTGTCAGAGGGGGATCCGAGGCCATCTGCAGGTGGATGGCATCAGAATTAGCCGAATGGTAGGACCCCCACCTGGTGTCTGAGGACTGCTGGTGACGTGATGAAACCCCCGACACACACATTGGCTTTGGGTGCAGAAGCCTGAAACCTAATGTTTCTCAGGGATCCATTTATTTGAACTATTTAAGATAAGACACTCTAAGTTAGAACCTGAGTGATGCACCCATTTCCTTTGAATCCTGGAGCAGAGGATGTAGTGGGCACACTGGTGACAGTGGGCATGGTAGTATAAGTGGGCACCACAGTGACAGTGGGCACAGCGGTGTCAGAGAGAACGGAGGTATCGGGGCACGGCAGCGTGAGCAGCAGTGGACGGTCCATGTGGTTGTTCTGCATCGGGGTGCTGGGGTCCTCAGTTTTCCTCTACTTGCCTCACCCAGGTCAGGAGTGTCCTCCCTGCCCCTGCTTTGTTCCCTCTTGCTCCTGTCTTCCCAAGCACGTGGACCTCACAGCCATGTCAGAGTCGGTTCCATAACATGCTTCTTAGCGGGATGTAATCAGTGCAGCACAATCCGTTCTCTCCCAAGGGGCTGCTTGGAATTGAGAAAGCAGAGAAGTCTTGCGGGATTTCTCACCCTGCTTCTAAAATTAGGGAGTGGGTAAGAGAGATGTGAGGCCAGGGGAAAGTTCTCATATCCTTATTATTATTTTTAGTGTTTATTTTTGAGAGAGAAAGAGACAGAGTGGGAGCGGGGCGAGGGGCAGAGAGAGACACAGAATCTGAAGCAGGCTCCAGCCTCCCAGCTGTCAGCACAGAGCCCGACGCGGAGCCTGAACTCACGGACTGTGAGATCATGACCCGAGACGAGATCGGACACTTAACCAACTGAGCCACTCAGGCACCTGTCCTTGTTATTAAATAATGTATATTCTCACCTTGTTCTCTAAAAGGAGGTGGCACTTAGTGGTGGACACACGATGGCCCTGGGATTATAGCTCAGTTTCACTACTGCTTGAATTGCACGAAACTGGACGTTATTCTTCGTATTTTTGATTCCTCCATCTTTTGTCTGTAATATGTGTAATGTGTGCAACTGCTAATGCCAGTTGCTCAGGTATCTGCAAACGATGTCCCGCAGGCTATCTGCAGCCCACTGCCTGTTTTTGTAAATAAAATTTTATTGGCCCATGGCCACACTCATTTGTTTACAGATAGTCTATGGCTGCTTTTGTGCTATGAGAGCGAGCAGTCGGGAGAGACCGTGTGGCCCACGAAGCTGAAAGTATTTACAGTCCAGCCCTCTACTGATAGCTTATTGACCCTGTTCTATTTCATAGGATGGCTGTATGGATACAAATAAAATTGTGGCAAAGCTCACTGAGCACACCAAAGACCACCAGGAATATACCTGGAGAAAAAGCGAGGTTGATTGCCCTTTACACAGCAAAGCACGTGTACCCTGGAGAAAAAGCATGTTTGAATCCCGTGGCAAAGGATTACTGTGCCAAAATAAGTAAAACATTCTGCAAGACCCAGACAAGTGAATGCTTGGTAACAGCTCTAGAGCCATGAACTCAGATTTCATTTCATCCAGTACATACTTACTAGGCAACTACTACATGTGTGTCCCTGAGCCAGGCAGTGGAAATCCAAGCGAGGTTAGAGGAAGGTTCTGCTGCTACTTCAGTTCAAGATCAGCTGGAGGGACAAATTAAAGGGGAGGACAAGTTACTTAAAGCTGGGAAAGTATAGGTGCACTGAGGAAGGTTTGTTTCTGTACATCTTGGGAAATCATCCCTTAGAAGAGCATAGGGTGAGTTCTGAAGGACAGAGCGTCACGCCAGGCACGGACAAGGAGCGCCAGTGCCTTCTGAGCTAATGGAGTCTTGAACGTAGTTACGAAGGAACCCAGCAGATTTTAGGAATTAAGAAAAGCACAAATGGGAAAGATGCAGCTAACCTAAAACCACAAAATAAAAAGAACAGTAAAACTAGAGTCAGATTGTGGCACAAAACAGCGATGTGATAAGAAATAGCCTAGCTCAGAGTGTTGGAAATCAAAGTTTGAATTACCTCATGCAGAGAAAGTTTTCCCGGTGGAAGAAAGGAAGGGAAGGGAGAAAGGGAAGGGAAGGAAGGAAAGGAGGGAGGCAAGGAAGGAGGAAAAAAGAACGCTTAAATTCTATTCCCCCCATCTAACGTATCACTGCATTGCATTGCATTTGCTGACTCGATATTTCCCGTACAAAGTTGATTGAATAAGGTTTCCATTTAGGGCCTCGCCCCAGGTGTTGGATAGATGATGCTGGTACTTCTGTGAAAAGCTATCTGTATTGTTTCCATGATACATGGTATTTCAATGTCATTTTACTTTGTTTATAACTACAAAAAAAAAAAAAATCTATAACGAGAAATGCTGTCTATACCTCTTTGCACCAGAGCGCCTTTCTCGCCGGGGTGAACGTATACCGATCACCGATTACGTTTAACAAGGGAATCACAGTGTTGTACTTTTTTCAGAAGAGCAAGTTGGGAAACCCAGGAAGAGTGTGGTGCACATACAGCCATCTTTCCAAAGACGACGGCCTGCTCGCCTCCTGGAAATCGGAGCTCCCTTCTATCAAGACAACCAGCTGCAGGTGAAGGTCTACTGGAAAAAGACTGAAGGTGCGTCAACGCTCTTTGATGATTTGTTATTTGCATTAAGTAGCCCAGTGATCTCAGGGTGCTGGTGAGAAAGTCAAGTCGAGACACGGTGTTGATTTTAAGGAACACGGGAGCTGAACAAAACACTTTAGTCCTTTTTTTTTTTTTTTTTTTTTTTTTTTTAATGCCTTGCTGTTGTGAAGTCTGGATGGGCAGCCCCGTCTTTGCCGGGAATCTGTATCACATTTGGAAATCAGTATCAGTCAGCCGCTTGGACGTTAACATTTCAGGGACGTTAGCCCGTCTTCACTGTGTTCTCAGAAGGCCGATCTTGTCTCCAAAATACTCATTATTTTGAGCTGTAAATTTTTGTTGTAAATGAGCTTTTTGTTTAAAAAAAAAAAAGGCAACCCAAATAATTGGATTTGGAGATGGAAATGGAGAAAAAAAGTCACTTATCTCAGTAGTGTTTCATAGGAACAGCATCTAGGTGGATGTCCTTTCGGAAGTTATCTGTGTTTCTGTTCTTCCCTCATTTGTTTTATGTGTATGTCCCCCCCATATATACTATTTATATGTAAAACACACATTTTCGTATAACATATGAGCATTCTACCTTGTCGCGCATTTCCGGTGACATTTTTGAATCGCTACTGTGTACAGACACGCCACACTATCCCAATGCTCCACTAAAACAAACCAGTCAGGTGCCTTCAGAAGTTCCATGCTACGATTCATTCTTCAGTAAAGATCTGCCCTCAGAATACATTCTCTTCGTTCTGAGTATTTGCTGGAGTGGCTGTCTTTGGGATAAATTCATCTTGTTTTCTTTATTCGTAGCATGTTTATCTTGTGTTATTGACATGGTCCTTTTGGATCTCCTGGTGCACTTTTATCCTCTCTGATGCGTTTTGAAAACATACAAAAAATAGATTGTTTCAAGAGCTCAGTTTTTACAATTCTTCCATATCTTCTGGAAGGGCAGTGTTGCTCTGGTATTCACTCATGTGCCATACAGCAGACTGGTGTCGGAGTTCTTCTTGTTCCAGCGGTTTCTTCACAACTGTTGACATCTGGGGCACCTGGGGGTCTCAGTCGGTTAAGCGTCCAACTTTGGCTCAGGTCATGATCTCATGGTTCATGGGTTCGAGCACCGTGTAAGGCTCGCTGCTGTCAGTGCAGAGCCTGCTTTGGATCCTCTGTCCCCCTTGATCTCTGTCCCTCCTCTGCTTGCCCGCTCTCTTAAAACTAAATGACACATTAAAAAAAAAAAAATGACTGTTTCCCCAAAGCTCTGGGCTGCTACCTTGGCCCTAAATCAAATATTATGGGAAAGTTAATTTCTTTAACTTTCTGTAGAGGCATTTGGCATATTTTTCCAACTTTCTGGTATTACCACATTGTCTTAACTACTGTAGGTTTATACATATTTTTAATAATAGCCTTTCAGTTTTTTTTTTTACTTTTTTTCAAATTGTCTTGATTATTCTTTGCCCTTTGTATTCTTGTATAAAAATTTGCACTAGTTTCTTGATTTCCACAAAAATCTTCTGAGATCTTTACTGAAATTACAATCAATCTATATGGTAATGACTGGAGGGGCGCCTGGATGGCTCAGTTGGTTAAGCGTCTGAATTTGGCTCAGGTCATGATCTCATGGTTCGAGCCCTGCGTCAGGCTCTGTGCTGACAGCTCAGAGCCTGGAACCTCTTCGGATTCTGTGTCTCCCTCTGACCCTGCCCTGCTCCTGCTCTGCTCCTGATCATGCTCTGTCTCTCAAAAAGTAATAAATATATGGTAATGACTGGAGAATTCACTCCTTAAAAATCTGCACACTTGACATATCACTTTATTTATTCAGGTTTTAAAATTTCCTCTCAACAGTAATTTGTAATATATAATGTGGAAGCTGTAAAACTTTTTAATATGATTATTCTGAGGTGTTTGTTTATTTGGATCCTATGATATATACATGCATACATTTCCCTCCATTTTATTCTCTCACTTTTGCTGCCATATATAAAAATGCATCTTCCAAGGCAGCTGGGTGGCTCAGTCAGTTAAGTGTCAGACTCTTGGTTTCGGTTCAGGTCATGATGTCATGGTTCGTGAGTTTGAACCCCACGCTGGGCTCTGTGCTGATAGCACGGAGCCTGCTTGAGTTTCTCTCTCTCCCTGTCTCTGACCCTCCCAAGCTTGCACTCTCACTCTCTCAAAATCAATAAACTTAAAAAAATCCATCTTCTATTTATGTCTTGATGGTGAATCCAACTATATTGTTATATTACTTTGCTCATTACAACATTTCCTCTGATGATTCTTTTCCATTCTTCTGTAAAGGCAATCATGTAGCATGTAAATAATGAGAATTTTCTAGTTTGCTTTCCAGACCTTTGACATTTTACTCCTTTCCCTTGCCTTGACGTTCAGTACAGGGTGGAATACAAGTGATCATTGCAGATGTGTATGGTCAATATTCCCATACAATAATGACTGGAACCCACAACGACCAAGGAATCACATCTGTCTTCAAGTGCAGATTAAACTGGAACCACCGTGCAGTAGAGTTACTTTGCTGGCAGATGTAGGTTGATTTCACCAGATCACATGGCCACTTAGGAACTAAGAATAAGTCATGCTCTAACTAGAGTTTTGTCTTCCTCCAGAATGCGCTTTTTCTTAAATTGTATCCATCCCATTTCCCTTTTGATTTTAAATTTGAAAGCCAAATTAACATATAAAACATAGGGGAGCCTCACTGTACCACAACCCTCTGTAGAAGGAGACTGTGGAAAGCTTTGGAGAGTCCAGCCCTCTCCGAAGTGGGAAGCATGTGTGCCGAACTTATTCCACATTTGTTCTCCTTCTAGAAGCCTGTTAGGCACCCTGTGACCTACAGAATCCCAAACCAAAGTTCCCCAGACACTTATGAAGCATGTGTACATTCATAATTATCACAAATGTAGGAAAGGAGACGCCTTTTAAATCAAAACACACTGCTACTATTTTACGAATTCTGTTCAGAATGTGAAAATGAGCTCTCTTTCTGTTATGAAAAGGACACTTTGGCTGGCTTTCTGGACGTCTTCACTCTGTAAAATTATAATTGTGTGCACTGAATACAACTCAATAGACCCATCTCAAATGGTTTGAAAGCCTTAGGCACAAGTACCTGAATATTCTTTAATCGTAACTAATTTCCACCATTGGATACACTGAGTTGAAAACCTAAAAGAAACTAAATGTTGGTGACAAATCAGAGGAGAAGAGAATCTTGTTCACTAATTGAGACAAAATTGTAAGTAGAAATTGGTTTCTAGCTATCTGTTACATTTCCTAAAAGTGAGGGTGGCCAGAACGTTGGTTTTGGACTTGGGAGTTAGGAACTCAGAAGCACAAATCTGTTCACTCACACTGAATATTCTCACAGAGAGAGCTTCAGTGGTTTTGTATTATTTATGATGACACAGCATATCATTTTGTAGGGAAGTGACTCAAACATCAAATATTAGCCCACCTTAGTGCATATGGTAGTTGGCTTATAATAGTGAATGCTCTGGAAGGAAAGAAATATCCTCAACAGTGAATTTCTGGAACAATCATTATTTATAAAAGGAATAGCTGTCCTTTTGTTATTCTACAGACACCAGTTCCGAATAGAATCTACAATTGATTATTTTAGGCTTTTTGGTTTAGACTTAGTGTTTGCACTCCAAAAATATGAAAAATTAGCTCAGAGAGAGAAAACATACTTCTACTTTGAGTAGAAATGCCTTCTGCCTAGGTGTTCAGAATTCTTTTACAGAATTGTACAAAATCAGGAAGTCTGTCTCACCAAAGCATTTTTACAAATATGAAGAGAACGAGGCATTATTTCGTGAAAGGATATCATCCAACTAACATTTATTGAGCATGTGCTACCTACCAGGTGCTATTTCTGGTGTTAGAGATGCTTAGGGAACAAACTCCCATCTAAGAAATGGGCATGTTCTGATGCCTCTCCATGTGTATGTCCCCTGCCATCAGCGTGGAGAGTTCCCCTCACCGCAGCTATTCCACGGTGCTCCGAGATGGTCTCTTTCTCACAGCTCTGAGTTCAGTCAGGCCAGCATTCTTGATCATTAGATGTTTGGAATTTAGTGATTAACATTGAATTAAAAATTGTGCAGCCTTTAATTTTTGCCAGACACTGTTGGATACATTTTACTTTTTATTTCGAGTTAGGTATATTTCAGGAACAAATTAGAGGCATCTACTTTTTTGAAGCATAGTTGAAGCATGCTGAAAATACATTTCAGTATTTAAAAATACTTCTCAAGGACTTTTTAATTCATTTGTGGAAGGAAGAACTTAAGCTCAAGAACCAGAACAGCAAGGCATTTAGGATAGAATTTTCCTATGTATCCCCTTAGGAAACATTTGATTTAATGACACTGTTTTTCATAGTCTAGTTAGACACTTGGTCCTGAAGTCATATCCTAAATACAAGCTTGCAGTATTTTCATACTTGGCAAGATGAAGCTGAAGACAAGACTGACTGTCCATCTGTCTATCTTGTCTAATTTATCTATTTATTTTTGAGAGAGTGCATGTGAGCAAGTGGAGGAGGGACAGAGGAACAGAGAGATAATCTTAAGCAGGTTCCATGCTCATTGCAGAGGCCATATTGGGACTCGATCCCATGACCCTGGGATCATGACCCGAGCCGAAATCAAGAGTCAGATGCTCAACCGAGTGAGCCACCCAGGTGCTCCAATGGTCACTTAAGCTTGAAACCATTCTTTATTCTTCTCCCCTCCCCATGTTAGGTATATGGTGTCATACTTTACGTCCTTTTATTTTGTGAATCCATTCGTAGAAAAACTTACTGCTTGTGTTTACTGCTTTTCTTATTCTTGCTTATGGTCTTTCTTTTCCACTCAAAGTGGCCCCTTTAACATTTCTTGTAAGGCTGGTTTAGTGGTGAAGAATTCCTTTAGCTTTTGTATGTCTGGGAAACTCTTTCTCTCTCCTCTTATTCT